GCTTCTCTCTCTGTAGTATTCCATTTAAAACTCTTATCCCATGTAATACAACCACCAGGATTATTCTCATTCATACAGAGGCCACATTCTTCCAATTAACTTCCTTAGAATTCGAGATATTTGTCTGGATTTTTACAATTGTAGCAAACCAGAATTTCTCCCAAGAATATCTAACCTGTTTCTAACCGAATTAATTACACACTTTATTTTTGTATCTTGCAGAAGTTAACCTAATGTGTTAAAACAAGCAGGTAAGAAAGCAAATCAAGGTTAAGGTCAATGTGGAAGACTGGAGATGCTAAAGCAGCAATGCAAGAAAAATGCTAAAAATGTAAAAAGGAGTAAGTTTAAATTCCAAATAAAAGCACATGGATGGCAAAAGAGGGCCACAAACAGAGCAAAGAAATAAAATATTAGTCTTTTTAAAGGGTACAGTTTTTTTAGATGGGGCTTGATACAAATATGCTGAGTAATTATTTAAACAGTTACTCAGGCAGACCAGTAGCAAACTCTATGTCTCACAGAGAGCCTTTAATGAAGTCCCTTCCCACATATATAATCCCCAAGCACACAAATTTACTTCACATTGATCATGTCTACATTAGATGTTGACTACGGAGCTGACTCAGCTCCACAGTAAAGTCTCAGAGCCTATACATATGGCCCTATTAGGTTTCAGTAAACTAATAAACACTGCCATAGGACACCACTTGTAAACCCAAGTACTGTCCTGCTGCGGTGTTATTTAGTGTGCCGCAATGCACATGCAGACGCTGAGGGGGCTAGCTGGGACCCGAGGGTGCTTCAGCGTGGAGACTGCCTGCTGGCTAGCTCTGCACTGAAGCACCCAACCAGCCCCTCCGCAGCACGCAGAGCTGGGTCGGAGCTGCCCCAGGCTGGCAGGCTGACCCCTCGGGCCCCCTGCCAGCCAGTCAGGGCTGCTCTGCCCTGGTTCAATGTACTGCAGTCCTAGGCACACAAGTAAATGTGGCACCCAGGAGCAATAAACTCCGGTGTAAATTGTGCCACAGTTTATTCAGGAGCATTAATTTCATGAGTAGATGCACCCATTGTTAGGTTCTTTTAACATGATGCTCAGAAGTAACAGAATTTCTACAACTATTGCTCTTATATCATGCCTAAGTCTCACTGCTGTTAGGCTAGAGTGGCCCAAGGAGAGCTTACATGAGCCACTAGCCCATGCAGCCAAAAAGAGTGGTAGTACTTTAATTTTGCTTGAGGAGGTTTTTGAAATGTAACAAAACCAATTCAGTACAAGAAAAGGGATAAAGGACTATCTGAAGCCAGACTTGGATATAATAAGCTTTTTAAAAATAGTGTAAATTCTACTCTTTATGTATTCAAATGCCATACAGTATAAAAATGAGATGACAAGTAGCTTTCATTATCCACCATGACACAGCTAAAGTATTAATTGGTGTGCACTGTATATAACAAACATTAGGAAAATTCATAGTGGAAAAAAGTAATTGTATTTTTTTAGAAGCTTAATTACATAAAAGTTTATAACACGCATGAAACCACAGTAGGTAGATGTCACCATTTCATTTAAAAACAAAACGCTTGAATTATCCCTAGTAATTTCAAATTAATATCTAAAGTATTTGTACAGACATTTCTTTGCTATGATGGTAACTCATTACAAAAAAACTAATTCATTAAATGCTCCAGTAAACAAGAGAATTTTCCGTCATCCCCTAAAGATCAACAAACTGTTGTCTGTCTGAATTTGAGACAGCAAGTTCCAAGGGTTAGGCCTGACAGCTAATACTGATGTGAACCATGAACATATCTTAAAGCAGGGATGTCCAACTAGTGGCACATAAACTGCATGCAGCCTACGAGTGCTTAACTTATAGCTCACAGACTCTTGCCATCCTTACATCCTCAGCTCCCCATGCTTTCCTCCATGGGTCGGGGACATCACTCCTCCTGGCTGTCACTGCCTCTCTCCATGCATGGACTGCTCCTGCTGATGCTATCTGTGATTGCCACCTCCTCCCAAGGCTCTTTCCCCCCCTGAGGGCAGAGCAGTCTGGCCTGCAGAGGTTGCAGCAATAGCATGGGGTTATCCATGGCCATTCAGAAGGTAGACAGCCATGTCTCAAAGGAAGACCACTACGTTGATGATCCTTTTGCCAGACACATTTTTGAGGCCATCTAATACTGTAACAAGTTGTATAAAAAATTCTTGATCTAAGAACTACTAAAAAAAACCCACAAAGCAGCCCAAATTTTACCAGGTACCTTCTGGCAAAAGTACAGACTGGCAGGATGAATTTAACTGTTTCCCTATATTGTCAGTTTTCTCCCTTTCCAAGACTTTTTTGTACAAAAACTGAGGGGACAAGGAAAAGCATTTAAAAAAACCCCAAAAAACAACAACCAACAACAAAAGTGTCTGGGAAACTCAGGGACAGGTGACAGGCTGGAAAAAGGTTTTGACATTTTTTTTCCTTAAAATAACTGATTCGATTTCCAGTGGAAGAGAGGCAATACAGAGCAATGCACCTGAATGGTCACAATACTCCATATAACATATCCCAAGTGCCTCCCTCCCTGACCCGTTTACAGCATTCTATTAAAAAAACAAGTTCTCTCATTAACACAAGAACAGTTTCAAGCTCCAACATGTTTTGTCTCCCTCCTATTTCTCAAAAGCAGACCCCCAAATCATTTTATTTTCAATTTTTGGAAGACCTAAACTTGGTTAGAGTGCTTGCTTTTGGGGGAAAAAACCCCATGAACATGGGAGAAATGTTCATTGGCTTGAGTGTAGCTTGAATCAATTTCAAACCTTGAAGCTGGAAACTAATTATAATCCAGTCTCTAAACTGTAAGACAGCTAATTAGCTCCCTACTATTTAATGACATATGGTAGTGTTGTCCACATTTGTTTTGCAGTCATCGCTGGCAGCCATCAGTCTTGGGAGACCATGGAGACTGTGTCTTTGGTGGGTTACTGGGTGACCCTACAGCTTCCTGAGTGGCTGAGTCGGATGCATGACAAGCAGACCCTCCAGCAAGTTACACATACAAACTCAGTTGAGCTTGCCCTGGTATGCCAAGTACCCTTTTGTCTTCCTTGCCTCTGATGCCTCTTCTCTAGCTCATCATTTCTCTGTTCCTAAGAGGCTACGTCTACACGAGCCGTTGACTGCGCAGTTGTTATTACGCAGTCATTTAGTACTTGCATACACAAGTGCTAAATGACCACGCAGGAACCGGCATCACTGCGCAGTAGCACCCCTGCACAGCTTTTTGGTGAGGCTCGTTAGTACCATGCAGTAGTGTCTCATCACGCTTCGTGCTGCATGATGCTGCTTCACAGCAGTAACGATAGGGTGGCCATCATAGAGGACATTCTCGTTTTCTGCTCCTCTGTCCTCTATTGATACAAAACCGAACGCCTTTATATCCTCTATTTTTTTCTTAATAGAGAACAATAGAGGACATAAAGGCGTCCAGTTTTGTATCAACAGAGAACAGAGGACAACTGGATTATCCTCTATGATGGCCACACTAACTAACGAGCTACTGCGCAGCCCATGACTTGTGTAGACAAGGCTTGCAGTATTTCGCTTTTAGTACTGACAACTAAGCTCGTTTGCTTCAGCAGTCATTCAATCCAGTCACACCCAGGACACTGTGCTTAGACTCTTGTCATCATCACAGAGAGGGGGGGGGAACCCCCCCAAATAATCATCGTTTCTAGATCTCAGGACATGAGGCTCTCACACCATAGAGGGCAGGTGAGGGGGGAATGCCGGAGAGCATCCTAAAAGGAAAAGGGCCCTTCTCCCTCCAGCTGTGACTGCATCCGTTCCCCTCTCTGCCACTTGGGTGAGGTGAAAAAGGCAAGGGGAGGAAAAGGGCGAGTGAAATGATGGGCTGGCAGGTCAGGAAGGAGCAAGGGCCCGCCTGGGAGGGAAGGGAGGAGCGGCGGCGACTCCGGCAACTTTCTGAGGAGCAGAAAAGCCAGGAGTGAAGCAGCCGCGAGGGAGAGACGCGGCTGCCGCCTCCCCTGGCTCCCCGGGCAGCAAGTGAAACGCCCGCACGCCCCAGGCAAAACACACCCGGGGCAAAACTTCGTCCCTGGAAAACTGCCCTGAATCTCCCCTCTGCCTGGAGAAGCGCCTCGGTGCCCAAACCCTTGAAGAGAACAATGTGTCCAACTATCGAGTTGGTCTAACAGAGGAGCTCGCATCTGCCCCAGGAACCTGGGCTGCCCCAGGTGCGCGGCTGCCGGCAGCCACCCCCCCCCCCCCCGCCGCCCCCGCGGGGGCGGGG